ACAAAAACATCACAACTATCCTATAATTTTTGGCTTTCCGAATCAAATAACCGATACGATTTAGTTCCATCTTCTATACCAACATACATAATCTTTTTGCTTCGATCTACAAGTTACATCAAAATCTACACCAACAACTTTGTCATAGACAACACAACCAAAAACCTTCAAATATTCAAGGTTTGCTTTTTTGTCAAACCATGCTTTACACGTCGTAATGTTGGGAAGCGCTTTTGTATGTAAGCGGATGATAAGATAACCCGTGTGTCTAACATTTTCTCCCCAAAATTCTCCTAATAAAATTTTCCTTTAAGTAGACACCGATCGATATCCATAACGGTACAATTTTGTCTTTATACAACTCCATTTTGTTGAGGTGAATGTGGAGTCATATGATACCTTTTTACTCCATTTTCTCCACCTCAATCTGTACGAGGTGTCTTCAATTCAAAACCCAAACCATTTTCAGCCATCAACATGAATCCTTTGAGGGCACCCGAGGCTTCAAACATCCTACATAAACTATAAACCTACATCAACCGACTATAATTATCTACCAAAATAAATAAGTATTTACTTCCTCTAATAGAGGTGGGGGTAATAAGACTACATAAGTTTGCATGAGCAAGTTGAATTGGTTTTTGTGCTTCAAAAGAGCGTCTGATTTGGGAAAGAGATTCGAATTAGTTTTGCAAGAATACACCCTTCACAAACTTGATTTGGAGGTTCGTTCCTTGGAACTTTGGTTTCCATATTCCTTTCAGATAATGTTTTTAATGTGGGAAAATGAATGGGACCAAGTCTAGAATGTCATATCCAATCTGGTTCGTCCTTCGTTGCTAAAATGCATGTTGGTCTATCGGTTCTTAATGGAGTTTTATGTAACTTGTTTGTTGATCTTTAAACTCACAAAAGTAGAATTTTATTTTTATCATATAACGTCAAAACTGACCCATCCATAATGACTTAACTTCCTTCTTCTGTCTTTTTTCTAAGACTAATAATGTTATTGTGAAGACTTGGAATGTAATACACTTCATTTAAAAGTATTTGATTGTTATTTCAATGCAACTCATGGAACTTTGAGCGGTCTCCCTTCATGTGGTTGCCAAGACTGTTGCTAAGATACCACACTTCATATTCAGCTAAACTCTCCCCTGACGCAAGAAGATTAACACATATCTTCTCTTTTAGCGACACCTTTTCGGGTACATATTTTTGTGAGATTGCCATCATTAACATGGGTAGTTATGCATTGGCTTACATGAGTTTCGCTTCCTTAATGTTGTTCTTTTCTGGGCATTTCGATGCATAGTGAACAAAATTATCGCGTTTAAAGCATTTTACTTTGCTTTTATCCTTTTTATGTACATTTTGTTCTACATTGGATTCACGATCAGGACCTCTTCCTTGGCCTTGGCCACCATGACTATTTGTAACTTTTGAGGTGTTTGATGAGGTCCCTTTTTTGGTTTTCTTAAATCGTGATACCCACTTGGCATATGTAGGTAACAAGGAAGGTCTGCCTCCTTGTTCTTTATAACCCCGAAACATCTCTTCATGGGTTTTTAATGACCCACAATATCTTCGCATTCATGTTTTTTAAGTCTCCAAATTGTTTGATAGATATTACTATTTACATTAATCGTAATGGGAAGACTCGATGAAACATCTTCACCACCACAACTTTCTCAATTCCTTTGTCTAAAGATCAACTATCGGTCATAATGGTATTTAATCTCATGAAAAAAAATAATCCACCAATTCATGTCTTTCATTTGGAGAACCTCAAAGTTAATTCTCAAGATTTATACTTTAGCCTCTTTTACTTGATCGGTGTCCACATGCATCACTTTAAGCGTGTTCCATCTTTCTTTAACTGTGTCCTTCTCAATTAACATAAATAACATTTCTTCTAGACTTACTTGATAGATACTTGTTAGAACCATTCGATCTTTCCATTCTTCTACATCTTCATTTCGAATCACACCCCACACTCTTTGTGTTTGGAAGTTCACTCGTATTTTTATATCCCATAGCGAGTAATTTGACTTCGTAAGCATCCAATAATGTAGCGTAATGCTACAATTTTTCTCATACTTTTGAACACCTTATCCTTCATTTGCCATCAACCTTGGATATACTTCGATATACAATAACCAGATACCACTTGTTGGAAATTATTGATCTAATTGTATGCAATATTAAATGTGATTTATTGCTCACAGTACGAGCAACTAAAAATGTAAAGAGGCAAAAAAGAAAATAAACGAGTCAAAAAATTTTATAAGCTTAAAGCTTAAGTCTTATTGAAAAATGGACAACTAAAAATGTAAAGAGGCAAAAAAGAAAATAAACGAGGCAAAACACGCTTAAAGCCTAAGTCTTATTGAAAAATAGAGATAAAAACGGTTACATTTGCAATAGTCATTTATACTTTACAAATAAATTATGCATAAATAAAATATTAGTATTTGCCAAAATATGCAGACGTGAATAAGAAAAGTTATTAATAAATTCAACTTGTAGCAAAATAACATTTTCAAAATATTGAAGTCATATGTATAAGTTAATTTATAACTAGGTAATATAATTATAAACTCTAAAAATAAATATTTATTTGAAAGTTGTAATTTTTATTACTTAATAACCAATAATAAAATATAATAATTAGTTTTCAGTAAGATATTATTCAACAAAAAACTATTTACCTCTATCGCTTTACGCGGACACACATCTGGTGTATATATATATATATATATATATATATATATATATATATATATATATATATATATATATATATATATATATATATATATATATATATATATATATATATATATATATATAGTCGTTCAATATATACAAAAGTATATTTCTTGAACAAAAATTAACTATAAAACATAAATTCGTTGTTATTATAAAAATATAACACTAGAAATATCTTCGAAACATATTACTTTTTTATTTTTTTTTATTTTAGTGTGAAAATAGACTGTTTTTATATACTTAAGACCGGAAAAATAACATAATAAATTTCAAGTAATTTTAAACCATATTAAAAGTTGTATGATCGGAAAACTTATAAGATGTACACTTAACTGTTATATTAAGAGCATCTTCAATGGTTAACCTATCCTATCACTTAATATATTTGCTACATCATTAATCTAATACTTATGACCTCTAATTAAATGGGTTCTCCAATGGTTAAGTTTTTTTTATAACTTTAACTTATTGTTCCTTATCTATCTAAAATGTTCATACAACCTTCTTATTTAATTAATAGTCTTTATATATATTATAATTGAATATGAAATATTTTAAATTAAGATTATCACTAAAAATTAGTATATAAACATTTAATAAATGAAAAACTATGGTAGAAATAATTAAATAGTTAAATAAATGAAAAACATTTAAAACTACAATATAATTAAGGGGGTAAAAATAAAATATATTAAAAGTACAAGGGGTTAGATGGTTAAAGCTTTATACTATATTGACCACTCAATATATATTGAGTGGTCAATATAAATACACAAAAAGCAATCAACTCCAATAGTATTAAATGAAAATAAATGATGACTCAATACAAAAAGCTCTAAAATAAGTCTCCATTGGAGATGCTCTAAGGAATGACATAAAAAGTTAATGTGTATTTCAATTTGTACATATTTGGTCAATTGTACATATTTGGTCACTGAGTTATTTTTTGTCCACATTTATCCTTTCAACTTATTAAACTGTACACGATCAGTATTTATGCCCTTTTATTTGAGGTATGCCGCGAAAAGTGACTTAATAAGGTAATGTATTTCACACTTTTATACACATTTAGTTTTTAATATTTTTTTGCACATTTAGTCTTTAATATATTTTTTGTTGCAAAATTAATCCTTGTTTTTGTACATAGTGAATACTTATGACCGATTTATTTAGGTTTTTCTCACGAAATCCTACGTGGGTCAATCATTAATAAGGTGTTCAGGGATCTTGATGCTTATGATCACAATGTCTTTACTGCATTGGTCTTGTGATTAGACTTAAATCTTGTGTTCTGAACATCATTACATCTTAATATAAATATCATTAAAATCTGAAATCGTATGAAGAAGTTATGACGTTAAGAACACAAGAACTAAGCGAAACATAATACCTAAGTAACCAGACAGCTGAAGTCGCGATGACCGTAAGCATCAACAATCATTGAAACCTTATTATTATTATCCCACATAAGATGCTGTGAAAAAAAATCCTAAAGAAACTGGTTTTAGGTATTGAATATGTACAAGAACAATAAGAAATTATTTTGCAACAAAAAAATATTAAGGACTAAATGTGCAATATATATATATATATATATATATATATATATATATATATATATATATATATATATATATATATATATATATATATAGGGTTAGGTTCATTTGAGACCACCTATATTTTGTGAGACCGTGAGACGTATTTTTTTTTATATATTTTATATTTTTTATATTTTTTTTAGTTAATTTTTTCTAAATTTGGTCTGACGATCTCACAAAATTAAAATGGTCTCAAATTAACCTGAACATATATATATATATATATATATATATATATATATATATATATATATATATATATATATATATATATATATATATATATATATATATATATATATACCTAAATGTGTGTAAAGATAAAAAGCTTGTTTTATTTCTTTATTTTGTTTTCTTTTGGTGTTTTGGTTTTAACCCCTAATTGTGATATACTAGTGTTCCGCCAATGAACCTTTTCTTTTTCTATCGTTCCTTTCCATAAAATGAAAAGACATAAAGCTATCATAACTTTGTAAAGCTTAAACAAAAAAGTTGCAATTCCATCTTTTATTATTATTATTATCCGGTATATTAAGCGACACTGTTCTGTGACCTAGAGCTGGGTGGAGTTACAAAAGATGGACGCAAGTTTTATTGTAAAATGTCAGCAAACTCTCCTTCATTTCCTCAAAAATCAAATAAACCAGTGCAGAAAAAGGTAGTATACCTGGAATTATCTTCTAGTAGAACGGAAATATCTTCTATGTAGGAATCTTTCGCTTCCCCAGAAACTAAGTGCGGATGGTACTGGTTAAACATAACATGATGACGAAGTAATTCATATACCATTATACAGAAATATATTTATTTCCTTAAACATGAAATTTTACATGTAGAGCTTACAATATGCGACGATAGAGACAAAATTTCAAGATTGGGACGAGTTTCCGTACGCATATCCTTGATATGAGTTAGTATTCTATTCAGTTGCTCCTTGCTTAGAGTCTGGAAATATAAAGCATACCAGATCAAAGAATGAGTGGGAGAGACTAGAGAGCACGCATCCTATTAAATTAACTATTTATTCCCTCAACAAGTGACTAGGCCTCATATATTACATATGTAAGATTGTTTGTTTGTATGTATGTATGTATGTATGTATGTATGTATGTGTGTGTGAGAGATCTAGAGAGATCTAGAGAGAGAGAGAGAGACTTACAGGGAATGTACAAATGAGTACACCATTATTTTCATATTCATATACAGCCTGAGGGTCAATAAATAAGGTCAACACATACATATAATAAAGTACGTAATAGAGAATAAGAAATCTTTTTTTCGGGAGAGAAGCAAACGGAAGGAGAATCACTCATGCTCATGTAAGTTGAGAAAAAATAATTATACCAAGAAGTCAGAAGCTCGTCTAATATGCTTGAGTTTATCCCATGCTGAGCCTGCATACTATAAGAAAAAAATCAATTTTAGATTCTAAAGTAACAAAACAAGTCTTATAATTAAGCTGATAATTTTACGAAAGAGTTATTTGAACAATTTATGTATGCTGGAAAGTGGAGAGAAATATAACACATCAATAATTAGGAGTAAGTCTTCCAAGTTAAAAATCTGGAAACATGTATAGGCCTATATATACATACATCCAACATTTTGAAATCAATAATCATGGTGACTTGTAATAAAAAAATAAAAAAATCAAGATTTCAAGTATTTGCTATTTCGAATATGGCTTTTTAGTGTATATATGTATGTTTATTATATATATATATATATATATATATATATATATATATATATATATATATATATATATATATATATATATATATATATATATATATATATATCTTTTTGCCACTTGTCAATTTTTTATTCGTTTGGACACATGTAATTTTAAGGTTAATTCTTAGAAATTAATTTTTTGTGGTAATTTTTAATTTTCTTAATTAACTATCTAATTTTTAGGTTATAGAAAATAGTTAATGTGTCATTAATTTGTTTCCTTATATTTCAAATATTAATATTTTTCCTTCAATATATATAATTCAGAATTAACACGTTTCTTTTAAAGTTTATTGTCATTTTAAACAAAATGGTATATATAAAAAAATAATCAAACTTTGTTGATTTTTACTGACAAACTAAAACAATGTTGTATGGTCAAAATATAATTATTTTTTGTAGTTTGTTTTATTAATATTGATTGAATTATTTATGTATTAATTATTTTGTTTGTATAAATATTTTGAAATTTTATTTGAAAAAATACATAATGTTTACAATTTGATATTTAATGTTTTCTTTAAAAAAATATTTAAAGTTTATATCTTTATATATAACTTTTTTTAATCAATCTGTGTAAAACATGAGTTTCACACACACACACACACATATATATACATATATATACATATATATACATATATATATATATATATATATATATATATATATATATATATTAGTAGGATCAAATAAAAACATCTAAAAGATTGAGAACACGATAACATATCTAAACCCTCTAAATTTTAAAATCAAAGTTTAATATTAATGAGCCATTTATATAAATTTAGAAAGTCATAGGATTAAACTATAACTTCCTAATTAACTAAAAGGGTACTATAGTCATTATGTTTTATCTTATTTTTATCAACTCCTAAAATATCTCTTTCTCTCTCTCTCACTCACTCACTCACTCACTCACTCTCTCTCTCTCTCTCACTCTCATTTCCTTGAAACCCTAATCGATGGAAGCCAAGACTAAAAAAACATACGCCTCTTCCTTCTCATCTCTCCACTGCCGACTTTTGAGTTTTATTCAACCTAGCCGCTGCACAAGACACAAAAACACCACCACCGCCATCTTGATAGTTGAACCCGGCAGCAACACCACCGTCACCATTATCATCACATAACATTCATCTCCACACCTCTATCAATAGGTGGGCAGAGATCTTTCGAGAGAAAGAGAAATACAAATACATATTACATATCAGAAGGCTACAACTTGATTTTATTTCATAGGATTTCATTGAAGATTCTAGACCTGTAAATCGATTTCAATTTGCAAGATATGGTCTCGATTTTGCTTGAATGCTGTTGTGAAGATAAAGGCTGATGATGGCGTCTGTGTCAATGGTGACGATAATGACGAGTACAATTAGGGCTTCCTTTATCTTTCGTTTTTTCATAATCAATTATGCAAAAGTATTAGACAGAGGGGACGAGGAATTAAAGAGATGCGAGAGAAACTTTAGAACTGACTATGAAGGTCTTGAGAGTTCTTCCGTATGTGTTTTTGTAGAGGTCCTTTGGAGTTGTTTACGAACATGAAAGATGAAGAATTTGAGCTAGAAGAGAATAGAAAATTGTACTATGTTCTATATTTTTTTAGATTTAAGTTATATTATTTTTTGATGAAATCATTTATGTTAGAATGTGTCTTTATTTATGAATAGCAGAGTATTCATCTGTGAATACTAGTGCATTCAGATGTGAATGTATTTATTTATGATTTGAGGTATTCAATTATTAATTTGTGAATAGTAGGGTACTCATTTGTTAATAAGAGTGTATTTATTTGTAAATAGCAGTAATGAGTGTACTTGTTTATCATTAAAGGTATTCTTTTTTTGAAAAAAATGATAATTTTTACACTCTTTTATTTTTAGTTGGTTAAAAAAAAGAAATTGTATTACTTGTAAATTGATGTATATTCGTTTGTGATTGGAGTAGTTTCATGTATTTTGAAAAAAAAGATCATTTGTGAATACAAATGTATTGATTTGTGGTTAGATTTCTATTCATTTTTTTGAAAAAAAAAGTTGAAACAGGAGAAAAAAAATTGATTTTTTTTAAGAAAAAAATATATTTTTTTTTCAGTTTGAAAATAAATTTTGGTAAATTTTTTTTATATTTCATTAATAAAAAAAATCGAATATTTTATTCTTTTTTGGTAATTGATCCTAAATTTAAGGGATTTGATGAATTTTATATTATTTTAATTTAATTAAAATATACGATTACTAATATCCACTTATATATTGATTGGTCCAGAACTGTTCTCGCGTTCTCAACCTTTTAGGTGTTCTCATTTGATCTTTTCCTTATATATATATATATATATATATATATATATATATATATATATATATATATATATATATATATATATATATATATATATATAGAGAGAGAGAGAGAGAGAGAGAGAGCTATGTTCAAGTATTCTAACTAATTATTGTGCGGATGTGTGGACAATGTTATTCTATGAGAATTACTAAGAGAATAAGTTGTTTAATAATGCGATTACGCTCAACCTTGCAAAAATAGCGTTATTTTCATGCATTCTCGCTAATTGTTATTTATTTTTGTTCTCACACTTCATTTTTCACGCATTTTCATTCTGACAGAATACGACTCAATAAACATTCTGATAGAAATGGGAATAATAATAATAAGTGTATAGTAACCTTATAGACGATTTAATTAGTGAGAATATGTGTTAATGATAATAGTTATGTAAGATTGAACGTATTTATATTATCAAACAATATATTTTCTTTATCATTCTTAAAAAATAACATTACCTATACGTCCGCATAATAATTAGTTAAAATGCACTAACCTAAGCCTATATATATATATATATATATATATATATATATATATATATATATATATATATATATATATATATGGTTCAAATGAAAGCAGTAAATAAAATGAAGACATGAAGACACTAAATTAATGTTATTATTCTGATAAGACTTTAAATATGTATACTATTGTTGTAATTATAATATGAATATTTGACATGTGATTAGTCATTTATTTATTTGTAGTAAATTAGAATGTTAATATTAACAAATAATTATTCCTATATTCATTACCGAATAATGACATAAGGGAATATATAGAAGTTTCATGACAGAATAATTACATAAACGTAGTGTCTTCACGTCTTTATTTTATTTACTATCTTCATTTCAACACACACACATACACACACACACACACACACATATATATATATATATATATATATATATATATATATATATATATATATAGGGCTAGGTTATAATGTGGATGGACATCTATTGTGTGGACGTGTGGATAATGCTATTTTATGAGAATTACTAAGAGAATATGCCATTTACTAATGTGAATACGTTCAATCTTACAGAACTATTGTTATTTTAATGGATTTTCACTAATTCTAATTTATTTTTTGTTCTTATTCAGCGTTTTGCATTTATTTTTATTCTTACAAAATACGACTCAATAAACATATTGATAAAATTCTGACAGAATGATAATAGTTAAACATAGTCTATAATAACCTTATAGATGATTTGATTAGTGAAAATGCGTAATAATTGCAATAATTATATAAGATTGAACGTATTCATATTATCAAACAACAAATTTCTTTGTCATTCTCACAAAAAAACATTATCCATACGTCCACACAATAGATGTCAATCCACATTTGAACCTAGCTCTCTCTCTCTCTCTCTGTCTCTCTCTCTCTCTCTCTCTCTATATATATATATATATATATATATATATGTGTGTGTGTGTGTGTTTGTGTATGTGTTTGTTTGTGTGTGTATATAGATATGTATGATGTATGAGAAACTCGAGCGAAATTCTTTAGGGGAATTATATGACATAGGTGAAGGTGATGACATGGGCCCATGGCTTTATAAGCTACTGGGTTATGATTTTTTCACAATATACATGCAAGCACTTGTCAGTTCAACTTCTTGTTTGTGATTTTTATGTCATCGGTTCATTATATGTGAAAAGAGTTTTACATGTTTCAAATTAGTTTATATATTAGTTTTATTACTATGTTGTAGGTGCAAAATGCAAAGTTGTAATAGTTTAGATTGAACCCGGTACGACCAAAAGAGCGAGTGTTAAGGGCGTCACGCCCCTTGCGGGGTTCCAAGCGGTAGCACCGCTAGGTGGGTGTCCTAACATAATTATGTATGGTTTTCCATCCTTAACTGCCTTATCTAAATGCAATTTTCGAATTCTAGGACATACTAGAATTCACATATGTTTTGCGACACACGAAATTCACACATCAAATGTTAGATTTTGGGTCTAAGAATATCAATATAAACTTTGATAATTCTAGAATTATGATTGCAATTACTTTCTATAACATCCATTTTCAGGATGTTTCTAATTTTGGGATAGCGGTAAGTAAATCACTCAAGTAAAGGTCTTAGGCTTCAAGGCGATACAGTTTAGACCTTATTTGTTGTTGATAATATTGGTTAAGTGATTTAAGCACTTGAATTGTGTTTTGGAGCCAAAAGGGGTAAAATGGGAAAAAGACGATACTCTGGACTGTTTGCATGAATTAGTAAATTGTCATCTGAATACTTTAAGTAAAAAGTAGTTAGATATAATTATTGGACTTGTCAATA